TTTTCTTAGAAGACCGTGAAGAACTCATTCATTTCATTGTTATTAATTCCATTATTGCATGGTATTTTCATCCAAGTTTGTTTGTTCACTGGTACTCACTATATAGTGAATGAGCGAATAACTTTTTCATCCTCAGATTTGTACTACCTCATGTTGAATTTAGTATTACTGCTTCCATTGTTGTAGTGGATTTCTCAGCTGTATCTGTAATTACCATAATCGTATGCCGTTCATACTACAGTCCTGTCAGATGCTGTTACCTTCAGTTCATTTTCTAGTCAGATGTATTTTGGCATGAGCAGGGGGTTACGCGATCCATGTGCACGAGGACGAATCTGTCCACTCCCAAGTGGATTTCCTTCACTCTCACAAAACTGGACGTGTGCTTTTAACATACATCGTTCCGCAAACACAACCCCCCCATATATTGATTATATGGATGGTCTTAAGGGTGTTTTCACTCCTAGTTTGTTTGAAGCATTGATTAACAGTGTGCTGTGTTTTCTCCATTAGTTTGGATCATGTTTGAAACCACACCGAAACAACTGAGAGTTTGCCATTTGTTGGCCAATAGTCAGAATTAAAGTACTTGTGAAAGCTCAAATGTGTTTTATCTCTACGGAAGGTATCAGCAGTTTACACATTTAGATGTTTGTGCATGCTCTTAACTGCAGCAATGTGTCCCATCATTCCTTAGCTTCTCTGTGTTTACTCATATTTGCCCTTATCTCAAATTTATTTCTGTAAAAAGGTTTATTTTTTGATCTTAACAAAATTCATCATACAACACAGTCAAACCTGATAGCACATGAATGTTCGCGTTATAAACTCAGCAAGAAAGAAACGTCCTCTCACTTTCAACTGCTTTAATTTCTTAATGTGTAAATATTTGTTTTATTATAAAAAGTAAAACAGGTTTACGACTTGTTCAGTCATAAACTGAACACGTTCCACAGGCATTTTATGAACAGAAATTAAATAAGTATCAGTATGAAATATGTAGTAAGTATAATATCAAAAGTCGTAGTGAGTATCTGTGTCCACCAGCTGCTTTAATTACTACAGAGCATCTCATCCAGCACCAGATTTACCGTGCTGTGAGATGTTACTCTCTTCAACCAAGGCATTTGCAAGTTCTTGCACATAATGTGGGGACGCATGGTTATATGTGATTTGGCAGTGCAAGGACATTCAGCTGTCCTTCCTGTCTCCCTGTAGCACTGTTTTAGGCTAGTCTTAATCTGACTGTGAACTTAATTGCCTACTGCCTGTAAACCGTAAGTTGCATGCTCATTGAACAAGTATGAAAATATTGTTTAAAGCCTTTACAATAAAGATTTGTAAAGCTTATTTGGATTTGGATTTGGAAAATACAGTATCCTGGAAAGGGACATTTCTTTTTTTGCTGAGTTTGTGTAGCATTTAGTTTAGCACAGCATACATGAAAGCTATGGCAAATTTGTCAGTGTGTGTCTCTGTGTGGATAAACAAGCTCTTATTTTGTAGATGTATGTATGTGCGTTTGTGTATGTGTAGCACCCGGACCACTCTCTGTTGTGGATAAATGACCCCATTATAGTTACACTGGGGGGGTCATCTATCAGCTCAACTTGGCCCCTTTGCGCTCAGACACTGTCTGCGAGGGGACAGACACTACACTGCTTCTGTGCCTCAGCATTTGTGTGTGTGTGTGTGTGTGTGTGTGTGTGTGTGTCTGAGCTTTTACCTTGCGTGTAAATAACACACACTGCTTTTATAAGTTTTATTTTTATAAATGTATATTAGCTGATTTGTTTTATTCACTTTTTGTGAATTAAATCATTTTCTTAATTTGTTATAAATTTTGTCTAAATTTTGTTAATATTAGTTTTATAATAATTTTTTTTGTTTATAAGTTTTATTTTTATAAATGTATATTAGCTGATTTGTTTTATTCACTTTTTGTGAATTAAATCATTTTCTTCATTTGTTATAAATTTTGTCTAAATTTTGTTAATATTAGTTTTATAATAATTTTTTTTTAAGTATAAACTTCTCTAAATGTTGTTACATTTAAGGTTAAAACAAGAAAGAATAATTGCCTAGAAGTTTACACAGTTTATAACTGAAATACAAGATATACACTACCTTTGAAACATCTGGGGTCGGTGAGATTTTTTTCTTCTAAAAAAAAAAACCAAACAAACAAAAAGAATGTGAAACTTGTTTTTTCAACAAAGACACATGAATTGGATACAAACTGACAGTAAAGACTTTTACAAACCAAACCAAAAAATTGTAATTGCATTATGAAGGATCATGTGACTGCCTGGAGACTGGACTATTGACTGCTGAATTCAGCTTTGCCATCGTAATATATTACAATAAAAACAGTTATTTTAAATAATAATAATATTTCACAGTATTACCATTTTATTGTATTTTTGGTCAAATAAAAATGCAGCCTTGTTGAGCATAAAGGACTTCTTTCAAAAACATTAAAAGATCTTAAGCACCCCAAGCTTTTGTACGGTATTTTATATTCTCTGAAAATAATTTATAATAATATTTGTTAATATTTGCAGCCCTCTACGAACACCTTGGCAAATGAATCGCCATTGGCTAGTACATTTTTTTGTTTACTCGCCAGACTGATAAATATATATATATAAATAAAATAATAATATATATATATTTTTATAAATAGTTTTATAAATATCTGAAAGTACACTCTTAACATCAGTCAGTCAAGCATTGTAATATGATAATCAATATTATTTAATGATAGAACTTTAGTAATTAGAATTAAAACTTGATAACCATGTATGAATGCATATTAGTCATTTTAACTGAACTTCGGACTGGTGGTGGTGCTTTTTTGGTCATTCAGTGTTTCTGTAA